CAGTAAAAGCATTAAAGTACTAATAAAAAAGACAACAAAAACCAAACCGAAGTTCAAAGTTCAGCTAAAAAGACAAGAAGTTTATCAGAAATGAAGATACTGATAGGTTTAGTCTTTTTTTTTATTTGCACTTTTTTTTTGATTGTGTTATAATAACACTGGATTAGATTTCTGTCAGATAAATTTGGCTTGATTGTGTTAGAGAATATCAATAACATACTAGAATATCTAAATATATTCTTCATTCCCATAGCGTTATCGTGGTAGAACCCAAACAAACAAACAAACAAACAAACAACAAACACACACACACAACACACTCCATGATATATAAAGATATCTGATCTCTCTCCCCTACCCCCTCCCCCCCCCCCTTCTCCCTTCCCTCTTCCTCCCCCCACGCCCATACTCACACTTAACGCCCCCGGGGTTATCGAGCAGCGCCCCCGCGGGTGTGATCAGCCTGACGGCGTAGTGGACGTGGGCGGGCGCGGGTGCCGAGGGGGCGTGGTGCGGGCGCAGTTCCGTGATGCCGTCTCCGCACTTTATGGTCCCTACGCCCACGCCCGTGCTCACGCCGCCGCCCATGTCGATGACGCGGCCCTGGAGATGAGGGGGGGGGGGGGGGAAGACCGGAAGTTAGATGGCTGGGGATGTAGAGATCGGGGTCAGGGTGCGTGTCTGTCTGTCTGTCTGTCTGTCTGTATGTCTGTATGTTTGTCTGTGTCTAATTGCGTATCTGTTTGTTTATCTGTCTGTCTGTCTGTCTGTCTGATTGTGTATCTGTCTGTTTGTGTGCCTGACTGTCTGCCTGTCTGCCCATCCATTTATCTGCATACCGCCCCATCTATCTATACGTCTATTAATTTCTTCATCTCTGTCTATTTATTCATCTAATTGTGTGTATGTGTGTGTGTATGCATGTATGTATACTTGTAAGTATGTATGTATGTATGTATACTTGTATGTATGTATACTTGTATTTATGTATGTATGTATGCTTGTATATATGTATGTATGTATGTATGCTTGTATGTATGTATGTATATATGTATGTGTGTATGTATGTATGTATGTGTATATGCATGTATGCATGTACCGTTAAAAACAAACAGCAAGGAGACTTAAAGCTTATGTTCCACTTAGCTTAGGATTGAACAAAATCTTGCTGAAAGATCTCCCATTGTGAACAAAGATTTACTGGATGTAACAATGGCATTTTCATTAGCAATAAAAATTCTGTCGCTGGAAATAGTATCTACAGCTCTCGCAGTAATTCCGTTATCCCTCAGATTTATAAAAAAGAAAAAGAAATATGTTCGTTTCCCCTCCATTTTTTTTTCAAAGTTTTACGCGCGTAGAATACCCGTTTTCTATGAGATCAGAGAGCTGAATTGATGGGATTATAAGAAGAAAATCCTTAATTCCGTTTTCAATTGCGTGTGAAATTATCTCCCAAATAAGAGATTTTTGAACTTTGGTAGAGATAGCGGTTAAATCATATACGTTTCGTTCTTTGTCTATGTTAGGTTCGCTCTCTGATTCTGTATCTAATTTTGCTCTTTCTCTCTCTCCATCTCTCTCCCTTTATTTCTTTCTGTCTGTCTCTCTCTCTCTCATACACACCTTCTTCTCTCTCTCTCTCTCTCTCTCTCTCTCTCTCTCTCTCTCTCTCTTCTCTCTCTCTCTCTCTCTCTCTCCTCTTCTCTTCTCTCTCTCTCTCTCTCTCTCTTCTGCTCTCTCTCTCTCTCTCTTGCTCTCTCTCTCTCTCTCTCTCTTTCTCTCTCTCTCGTCTCTCTCTCTCTCTCTCTCTCTCTCTCTCTCTCTCTCTCTCTCTCTCTCTCTCTCTCTCTCTCTCTCTCTCTCTCTCTCTCTCTCTCTCTCTCTCTCTCTCTCTCTCTCTCTCTCTCTCTCTCTCTCTCTCTCTCTCTCTCTCTCTCTGAGCAGATGATGAAAGATTAAAGTCTTCGCTTTGATATCTCATCCGTTACTCAACTTTTATTTTTATTTTCATGTTTAATCTTTAACTATTTTTGCTTTTATTTTTTTTTCAAAGTTTCCGCGGTCTCAGCGTTTCCACGTGTGTAATTCTCCGTCAAAATAGATGAACGAATTAAAAAAAAAAAAGAATGGCAGTACAAGGATATATTAAATAACGAGGAGATAGATAAAACACGTGAGGAAATTCATTTTATAAACGGATATTTCTTTGATTTTTTTTACACATTGAATAATTGACTGATAGTCCATCTAATAGTTATCTAATAGATACTGAACAGACATGTAATGGTTTTAATGAGTTTATTCAATAATCTGATGTTTAATTAAGCAGTTGCGTTATGTAATAGACATTTATAAGCATCAAATTGTTTTTATATGCATTTAACAGAAATTTTAATATAAAATAATGGGTATTTTATAGACCTTCGATGAACATTTTCTAGGCACTTAGTGGCATTTAATGGGCAGTTTCTGATGGACATTTAATGGAGACGTGATAGACTTCTAATCGGCATTATTAATTAAGTAAACATTTAAATGGTACCTAATGGATATAAGATAAACATCTGATGGGCAGTCAATGATCATAAGAGTTATTCAATGTGCATTTGACAAGACATGTGATAAGCATTTAATGGGATTTCAAAGAGATTTAATGGGTATCTAATTGGCATGCTTTGGGCATTTAATGGACGTTCAAAAGGCATTGACAAACATTTAGTGACCAATGAATAAATATTCTACTGGCATTTAATGGGAATTTAGAAGGCATTGACGAACATTTAATAGGCAATGAATAGATATTCAATAGACATTCAATGGCCATTTAATGGGAATGTAATGGGTATTTAATGGGTATTCAAAGGGCATTTAATGGGAATGTAATGGGTATTCAATGGGCATTTAATGGGTGTTCAATGGGCATTTAATGGGTATTCAATGGACATTTGATGGGTATTTACTGGGCATTTAATGGGAATGTAATGGGTATTTACTGGGTATTCAATTCGCCTTTAATAGGATTTCAATGGACATTTAGTGGGTATTTCCCCTCACCTGGAAGTGTCCTGGCAAACGCAAGCTCCCCTCCTTCGCTTCCTTCCATCCCCTCTTCAATTTCTTCAATTCCGCCTTCTTCTTCTTCTTCTTTGCCTCCTCTTCCTCCTCTTCGGCGCGCAACCTCCTCTCCAGACTCTCCTTCTCCTCCTCTTCGTCTCCTCCTCCTTCCGCGATCTCTCCTCTTCCCTCTCTCCTCTCCTCTTCTCTCTTCTCCTCCTCTCCCTCCGTTTCTTCTCTTCTCTTCGCCCTTGTTTCGTCCATCGGCTCGAAGACGCAGATCCAACCGCTGTCCGTCTGGGTTACCTGGCGGACGAGTGGATAGATGGATAGATGGATAGACAAATGGATAGATGGATAAATAGGTAGATGGATAGATAGATAGGTGGATAGAGATAGATGGATAAATAGATGGATAGATTGATAGATGGATAGAGAGGTGGATAGATACATAGGTGGATAGTGAGATAGATGGATAGAGATATAGGTAGGTAGGTAGGTATGTAGGTAAAAAGGTACACAGATAGATAGATAAATAGATAGATTGACAGACAGGTAGATAGATAGATAGATAAATAGATAGACGAATAAGCAAACATATAAATAGATGGGTAGGTAGATAGACAGATAAACATATGTACTTATCTATCCATCAATCCTGATAGACAGGATAGATGGATAGATACATAGCTAGATATATAGATACAGGTAGATAGAATAGATACAGATAGATAGATAGATACACATAGATAAATAGATGGATACAGAGAGATAGATAGATAGATAGATACACATAGATAGACAGATGGATACAGATAGATAGATAGATACACATAGACAGACAGACGGATACAGATGGATAGATAGATACACATAGATAGATATATGGATACAGATAGACAGAAGGATTGATATATAGCCAGATATAAAGACAGATAAACACGTGACGAAAACTAAATATAGTGCAATATTAATATCATGAAAAATTGATACAATTAAAGTAATGATTACTGAGAATAGGAATTATGAAATAATGATAGATGGTAGTAATAAAAAGGACTGTGAATACTTTAGTGAAATAAATAATTAATAAATAAGTGATAATAAATAATAATAATAAGTGATAATAAATAATCATCATAAAAATATTTTGTGGGACATATAAACACTGAAAAAGTGAAAGTAAAAAAAAAATAATAATAAATAAAAATATAAATAAAAAAAATTAATAAAAATAAATAAAAAAATAAATAAAAAGGAAGATGATATAAAATAAAGTCATTAAACAAAGAATGACCATAATGGAATAAAGAATTAAAAAATAAAAATCATAAATCGTCTAATAAAAAACAAATAGAAAATGAAAGCTTTAAAAAAAATCAAACAAATAAACAAAATTGCAAGAAAAATATAATAATAAAAGATTGAGAACATTAAAAAAAAGAAAGATATATTAACATATCAAAAGATGAATAAAATAACAAAATATATGATATACTCAGCCTTATCCACCTAACCGATGTTACTATCTCAACTTAATTAGTTAACTAAATACAAGTTCAGTCAAAGAATCTGAACAGCCAGTCTTAACTAGTCTAAACTTTCGAAATCGAATTAATATAACTCAATTTAACCAAAAGCCTCACTAACTAATC